TGCCCAACAACGTGTCCGGGTGGACATGTCCTCCAGTCGCCGTGCCTGTCCACGGAGGTTGGGAGGGGCCAGAGCTCCTTCTGCACGCGCTGTCCACAGGGCACGTACAGGGGAGCCGACGATGAGCCGACGATGTGCTTTGAGGTTACGCGGTGTGGACAGTGGCAGTTTGAAGCAAAGGCGGCCACATTCTCCTCAGACGCCGTCTGCACCAACTGCACAACATGCAGGTGAGCTCGTGTGTGTGCGTGTATATGAGAGCGTGTGTGTGTGTGTGTGTGTGTTGGAGCTTGGGCTGTTCTTTGTCCATGTATTGTCTACATTCCCTGTGCATCACATCATTCACACGCACACACACACACACACATAAACACACCATTGCACTCACATGCTTTCACACACACACACACACACATCATACGCATCCACCAGTCCTGGACAGTATGTGTTTTCGCAGTGTGGCGGACAAACGGACACGCAATGCCGGGGCTGCACGTGCCCTGATGGGTTTTACTTGGCGGAGGACTGCGACCCAACATCCACCCGCCCACCGGCGTGTCGTTCCTGTGACCCTTCCTGTGCCACATGCTCGCAAGCAGGGTACGCCAACGTGGTGTGTGTGTGTGTGTGTGTGTGTGTGTGTGTGTGTGTGTGTGTGTGTGTGTGTGTGTGTGTGTGTGTGTGTGTGTGTGTGTGTGTGTGTGCGGGGGCTTGGGTGGAGGTGGTGTGTTAACATCGAACACAACACCGACACAACAACAACACAGCAAACATTGTTATTCTCACGCCCCCTTCGTCTCCCCTCCCCTTCTCCTCCTCCATGACGGTGTCCATGCATCGGTATGGGCAGGTCGTGCGACACGTGCGCTGGTGCGCTTGTGAAGCAGCCCGATGGAACGTGCTCCGATGACTGCAACACAGGTGTGAACTGAACTGGCGCTTGTGCTGTGTGTGCGCGTGTGCGCATGTGTGCGTGAAGATGGAGTGTGCATGCATGCGCGTGTGTGTATGTGTGTGTGTGTGTGTATTCCCCTTGCCTCATTGTATGACGCAGCTTATCAAACAACAACAACAACAACGTACCACCACCACCACCACCACCAACACCACGACCACCACTACCATCGCGGCCAGATGAGTTCCGGCCATCGCCGACTGCAGACTGCACCGCCTGCCACTCCTCCTGTGCATCCTGCTTTGGCGCAGACGATGTAAGTGTGGCGTGGCGTGGCGTGGCGTGGTGTGGTGGCGTCGGGTTATTGTGATGCGAGTGGAAGGATGTTGTTGACATGTGCTGGGGTGGCAAGGGGAATGCGTGACGGTGTGGGCAGAGGAGGTACATGCTGGCGTTCCGTGGCTTGTGTTCGTGTTCGTGTTCGTGTGTGTGTGTGTGTGTGTGTGTGTGTGTGTGTGTGTGTGTGTGTGTGTGTGTGTGTGTGTGTGTGTGTGTGTGTGTGTGTGTTCGTGCGCATGCTCGGGAGAACGTTGGCGTGATGCTTCGTACACGACTTTGCTGACTGCGTGTGCATGTGTTTGGATCCACCGAACAGTCGCAATGCTTGACGTGCGACGCCGGCAAATATCTCAGCGAAGGTGAACACCACTCGTTTGGAACAAAACGGAAGCGTGTGCATGCAAGCACCACTCACCATTTCCTGCTTGCTGCCTCCTCACGAAAACCCCGTTGCTCGTTGTTGTTGTTTTTTGTTTTTTGTTTTTCATCTTAACGCCTTTTGTTTACCACCGTGCACCCTTTCACACGTGTGTGTTGTTTATCTGCGAAATAGGCTCCTGTGTTGCATCATGTGGTAATGGGGCGCGGCCTGTGAACGGCGTTTGCGTCCCATGCGACGAATGCAAGGACGGATTCTTTCTCCAGCAATGCACAAGCAACCCGGTACGTGTTGTGTTTTGTGAGTGTGGCGTGGGTGTAGTGTTGTTGTGTGTTTGTCGTGTGTGACGTGTTGTGTTTGTGTTGCGTGTGTGTGTGTGCGTGCGTGTGCGCGAATGTGCGTGTGTTGTATTGGTGTGTGTGCGCGTATGTGCGTGTGTTGTATTGGTGTGTGTGTGTGTGTGTGTTGTGTGCACATGTACACGTGCATACATGTGCTTGTGTATGCGTCACTTGCGTGTTCGTGTTTTCCAACCACACGACGCATCCCTGCTATTCCCCTCCATGACACCATCGAATGACACGACCAGGACGACGACTGTGCGCGCGTGACGACGTGTGCTGCTGGCACTGAGTTCACGGCTGCCCCCGCCACCGCCACCAAAGACACGACATGCACAACCTGCAAGACGTGCGACCCTGGCACGTATCGTGTTGTTGGCACGTGCGAGGGGTCAACGGACAGCATCTGCCTGCAGTGTGACGGCATCACCTCATACCAGGACGAACCAAACCAGGTCAGTCAAGGCGTTTGTGCATTTGTATGTGTGCATGTGTGAATGTGGATGTGTGCTCGCGTTTGTGCATGTATCTTTGTTTGCGAATGTGTTCATGCGTGGGTTTGCACGTTGATGGCGTTCCATTTTTTTTTTCATTGCTCACCACAATGCCGAACACGACACATTATGCAACACGCGACACCGCAGCCACGCTGCAAACCGATGACATCCTGTCCACCGGGAACACATGCGGAGAGGGGAACGCCCTCCACCGACAACACATGTACAGAGTGTACAGCCGGCACCACGGACCACGACTACAACCCGCTGACCGCGTGTGTGCCATGCACACCGGGAACATACGTCCCAGCCAACAGCACGGGGCCTTGCTCCCTGCTCGTGTGTCCCGCAGGCACTGCTGATGACGATCGCGACCCATCCACACCATGTGTTGCATGCGGCGATATTGGGTGAGCTGCGATGGAGGTGCTTGCTTTTTGTTTGGTTGTTTTGTAGGCTTGTTTGCTTGTTTTGTTTGTTTGTTTTGTGTGCTTGTTTGTTTGTTTGTTTGTTTGTTTGTTTGTTTGCTTGTTTTGTTTGTTTTGTTTGTTTGTTTGTTTGTTTGTTTGTTTGTTTGTTTGTTTGTTTGTTTGTTTGTTTGTTTGTTGGTGACGTTGTTGCTTGGTTGTGTTTCTTGTGGAATGCATGCATACATGACCACAGAATGCATTTTGAACGTGTGTTATTGCATACCCTTTGTGTTCGCCTCTCCTCCCATTGTCTCACATCCCGTCTGGCGTCGCGTTGTTGTCAGCATGAACATGTACCAGCCGTCCACGGGCCAGACAACGTGCCTGCAGGCAGACCCATGCAAGCCGGGAACGCGCGAACGTACGACCAAGACTTTTGCATGCATTGCATGGTGTAAATCAACATGAGCGAAGTTGTTGCGTTATTGTTGCCATCATTCGGCTTAGGTTCATCTTTCCGGTTTCCTCACACACACACACACACACACACACGCACGCACACGCACACGTACACACGCTGCAGTGATTGCGAGCACGCACACGAGTGCGCCGACGTGCGTACAGTGTACTGTTGGCTACGACTACCAGGATAAGGCGGGGCAGACGTCGTGCAAACCCGTCACGCGCTGTTCAGATGGCGAATACGAGGTGAAGCCGAAGAGAAGGAGCGGGAAGATGTGAGAGACACGATGTGAGGGATGTGAGGACGATACGAGAATGAATGATGAAGGCGGGGGGGGGCGTGCGCATGGAATGTGAACTCGGAACGTGAACGTGGTTGAGGCATGCTGAGATGAATTAGATGTCCTGCACCTTGCCGACACACACACACACACACACACACACACACACACACACACACACACACACACACACACACAACCAGGAAACGGCGCCGACGGCGACAAGTGACCGCGTGTGCAAGAACGGCAACCCGTGTAACCTCAACAGCCAGTACCTGTTGCGGCCCGGCACGCCAACTAGCGAGCCCGTGTGCGCGCAGCTGACGGTATGCACGCCACCGATTGAGTTTGAGGCAGCGCCACCAACGCCAACCTCCAACCGCAGGTGCGATCGCGTGTCGTTCTGCTCCGAGGGCACGTACGAGCAGCGACCACCGACGGCAACAACGGACCGCGTGTGTCAGCCGCTGCCGTCGTGTCCGCCCGGTGAAGGTGTTGTCAGCAACACCAACCCCACCTGCACGCCGTGCGAGCCAGGTATGCTGCAAGGACGCGCAGCGGGCACGTATGTGTGTGAAGAGGGGAGATACTGGTGTGTGGGAGCACTACAATTGTGACTGTCGTCATACCACGGCACTGTACCTTGCTCATGCCGCACACTCACTCACTCAATCACTCACTCACTCAATCACTCACTCACTCACTCACTCACTCATTCACTCATTCACGCACGACCACATTGAATGCGGCCACTAAACTGCACGCGATCAGGCACGTTCAGTGCAGACCGGAGTGCGACGTTGTGCCAGTTGTGTCCACCCAACACATTCGCCGCCGATCCAGCACAGGCCCACTGCCGCGATTCCACCATCTGTCTCGCAAACCAGATTGAGACCCGGCCAGCATCGCCAACAGCAGGTACGTGTGTGTGTGTGTGTGTGTCTGTGTGCGTGCGTGTGCGTGTGTGTAGGCGTATGCGTACGTGTGTGTGTGTGCATGAAATATTGGTGCGAGCTGATGCAAGGAGATGTGTTTGCTGGTTCAATTGTGGCAGGATATTTGCCCATAGGCCACACACGCACACACACATTCACACATTCACACATTCACACATGCATTCACAACCCCCCCCCCTTCTTGCAGACCGCATGTGCGCGTACAACGTTGACCTTGTGCTGGTTGCTGCTGACAATTCAATCTTTACTGGCGGCGATGATGTGGACACAAACGCCGTCAAATCGGCCGTTGTTTCCGTCGTTTCTCGCAGTGGAAACGCACGTGGCGTCGACGCAGAGGCCTTTGATACGTACGTGATACATACGTGTGCGTGTGCGTGTGTGTGGGTGTGTGTGTGTGTGTGGGTGTGGGTGTGTGAACTGGCTAAGTTTCACACCAA